CATGTTCGGGGTCAATTGCACCCCAGGCACGCGCAATCGCCCGTTAACGATGCGCCTGGTCGCTGTCAACGCTGCTAAACCTCCTTTTGGCACAAGGATGGAGAGTTCCATCACAATGTGCCGTTCCCTTCCCATCGGATAAAGCAACCGTTTTTGAATGCGAGGGCCTCCCCAACGGTTGAACTCCTGGTTGCTGCGGAAGATTTGGCCAATTGTTGCCAGAATTTGAAGTCCTAATGGACCGTATATTTGCGCGATGATGTCGCCCGTATCTGAGCCCGCTGGCCACCGGACTGTCACCACGATCGGTTCCAGTTCTAGTGTGGCTCTGTAGAAAGCCAAGCCTTCATTTGTTCCGTAAAAGCCACTGACGGCCTTTATCTTTTTGGTCGGTATGGATTGCGGTCTCGCGGCTGAGGTCGGCTGGCGGCCATTTTGAACATTGCCGCGGCTAACAGCCACTGCTGGTCGCCTCTGCGACATTTTCAGGCTAATTAGATAACCATAACTACGCTCAAACAATTGAGGTCGCTGTCGGTGGCCACGGCCGCGGTTGGCCGACGGTCATAGTAGCAGCTTAGTCAAGCTTGGTCTCATCCATACATATGTATGTATGTATGTATGTATGTATGTTTGCAAAAACACGGAGCCAGCTTGAGTTACTGGGTGATTCACTTCACATTCAGTCAGTCACTCAGAACACGTGTCGGCCTTGCGTGTATGCCTTGTGTTCCAAAAAATCCACGTTTGTGAAAATCCTCAATCTCTAATTGAATTTATGTAATGGTAAAATGGTAATGGAAAGGGTTCTCCGTCGAGTGCAAATACAAGCTCGTGTTGTGCGTGTTGTGGTCCATCGTTCTATCTATCTGTCGGCCTGTCTGTCGGTCGGTCGGTATGCCACAAAAGGAGCGGTAAGAAAAAGAGCGGTAAGCGGATATTTGCACGATGCCTCCGATGGCTCCTTACCTGAGTGCGCATCCCCCATCTCCGCCTCCATCAACCCCTTTTTCGCTCCCTCCCTCTTTTTAAGCTGTGCCGGGCTGCCTGCCTGCATGCCCGGGGGCACCCGGACTCCAAAGAAGCTTCCCCCCATGCGACCCCATCCGACCTTAGAATATACCTGAGCAGTCAGGACTTAATCCCTGGCCTTAATCCGCACTGGAAATGCACCCTTAGTACCTCACATGCCTCAAGGTCTTTCTCCTCCAAAGCCATCATCAAAAAGCGCCGCATGAACAGCTAGCTCCATCATCAGCTTGATTGTCCTGCCCATCGTGGTGGCCTGGCCGAATGGGAGACGAGAAGAAGGTAAGAAAATGCGAGAGATGTCGCGTGAGATGTGGCTGGCAGAGCGCGATCGAGGGGGAGAGGCGTGTGCATATCAGCTGAGGTGGGGCAGAACTCCCCCCCACCCCCCGATCGTGTGTGGATATGGGGGAGGGAGGGAGAGAGGGCCAAACTCCGGGGTGCCAGCATTCAGCCCGCTTTGCGTCCTATGTCTCGATTAGGTGTTCTTTCCGTCGGTGGCGTCCCCCGCTCACCCCCGCTCACCCCCGTATATCCGCCATCCGGTGTCGTTGCGCTCCATTATTATTATCAGAGCAGAGCGCGGAGGAGGCGCCGTGCGTGAGGCCCTCGTCAAGGCCCTTCTTCCTGTCCGGCTTTGCTGTGTCCTTGCTATCCGGCTTGGCCGAGTTAGGCGAGTTCCTTATTTCCGGAGACAGAGGAGCTTTGGGAGGTTGTTGGGGCTTCGTATACAGATGGATGGATACGGTAAAACGGCTAATGTGGTGGTGGGCGGGGAGGGTACACGGAATGGTACAGATCTGGCATTTGAAGAATGGCCTAGACGAGAAAACTGGCGACTGGAGCTACTATAGGCTGCTACAGGATCAGGACGAGAAGTACGCGTCCTGGGGTTGGAAGTGGTGTGCATGTATAGGGAGATGGGGGCTGGCCTTGGCCGTGATACGTATTCTTCGGCCTAGGAGTTTCAGTTGCGATGTGAGGATGAGGACGGGATGAGGACGGGATGAGGACGGGATGAGGACGGGATGAGGACGGGATGAGGACGAGGAAGAGGAGGAGATTGCGCTGATGGTGGCTCTATGTCGGCTTTGGGATGTCCTAATATCTGCTTGCAATGATGTTCCTGTTCGGCTGTGAAGGTGAGTTGGAACGGGGCCAGGGTTGGAAGTTAACCAAAGGAAGCTCCCCTTAACACAAGCGCGCCGAAGAGACTTCAGCACTTTATGCAGCACATCTGGGGGGCCCGAGGAGGGGGCTATCGTGCTGCCTCTCAACGTGCGTTTCTACTCCTTCCCTGATCTGGGTTCATACTTCTCAGCCAGCTTCCGAAAGGAGTCAGCCTCCGAAACCAGCCTGCTCTTTTATACCAAGCGAGTGAGATTCATTACGAAGCTGGCTGTACCGTCCATATATACGTCCGCGCGAAATGTGGCATCGTAGATGTCCCCTTGCGAAGGGCAGCGCGGCAAATATACCGTTTCGGAGCGCCGTACAGCTGACCGGCAAGCATGAAAGGCCCATAAAGACGGCAGATTAAATGTCCTTCTCCTTAATTTCCTCATAAAATAACTTTACCAAACATTACTTATGTGAATTAAGGCTGCACGAACGAGGCGGAAATGGGCCGAGATAAGTCGCTGCCCGAACGTTCTACTCGTGGCAAGCGCCTTAAACAGGCAGTAGACGAAGAAGAAGATCAGGCAGATAATGCGTTCTGGAACCAAGAATTCTTCAAGGAGGAGGTTGTGGATGACGACTATAAAACAGAATCTGAGCCGGAGGACGAAGTGGACACGGATTTCGACGATGATGTATGTTTGATATTTCGCTAGAGCTTGGATGGGCATTTTTCCAATAGCTAGTCGCAGCATTATCGCTTTGGCGTTGCTGCGTAGGAGGACGATGACGACGACGACGAGGTAGTGGTTAAGGACGACGAACCGCGGTACGTGCAATGGCTTGGAGATGAAAGCGTGTTAGGGTATTTGGGGTCCTCTCATCAAGCAAAGCAGCAGTGCGCCGTGTGTGTCTAACCACGGTCAGGAAGAAAGCCCTGAAGCCCCCCGGGTACAAGCCCAAGCCCAAGCCGAAACCCAAGCCTAAGCCCAAGCCAAAAGCTGAGGAGGAGGATGAGTACCTTGAGGAGGAGGGTGACGAGGAGGATGAAGAGGAGGAGGATGTGGAAGGCGGTGCCGCAAAGACACCCAAACATCCCCGCGAACCGGTCGTTTATGTCGCCCCTACTCTTCGGCGGTCAACCGTTGCAAAGGTTGCCGAGGCGCAAAGAGAGCGCCAATACAAGGAAAAGGTACAACCATAGCACGTACCGCCAGCACGTGCGGGGCATCTCTCATGCTAGTCCGCCGGTACCGGCATAGCGAGGCACACGAAGGGGGTTATCATACAGAGGTTAACCAAAGCAAATATGTGGAAAGGTCGAGTTGGGGTTTTAGCGAAGAGGAGTAGAGAGAGTTATGCTGAGATGTATCATTATCGCTTTTGCGAGCACACCCCGCACAACAACACACGCCGCATCCCCACAACTTATTTCTCATCCTCCTCGCAACGTGGCCTTGTCGTTGTCATCCTCCTCCTCTTCATCATCATCGTGCGGTCGTCTGTTTTCCTCACAGTCGACACGGCGGAGAGGCCCTGGCAGCGGTAACAGCAACTGGCGTCCGCTGACGCAGCAGGAGATGCTGGCGGAGGCTGCGTTGAACGAGATTGAGAACACGAGGTGCGTCCGCCCCCTCCGTGATGACCTCGTGCGGATGTGTATTTTGAGTTGTTGCCTGATGGTGTTGTTGCCTTGAGCACGCCCATTCTGGACCAGGGGGCCTTGTTGGGTTGCGAGAGTCTCAGGACATGCGATCATAACACTTGCGTTGGGTGAACCTTCTCCCCCCCCCCCCGGGCTACTTGTGCAATCATAGCGTAGATTGCAGCTTCTTTTTACGTCCTGTGCGGTCCTGGTGTAAGGTCCAGTGGTTTAATGTAAGCTGTGAGTCGGGGCTGTGTGTTGTACCCGTTGCGAGCGCTGCATGAGTTCGACATTGTTTCCTCCTCTAAGTCCATATGCACTCTCTTCTCAACTGGCGATTCTGGGATTTGACGCGACTTAATTCGCTGGTATATTGGGCGGGATTCCCTCCATTGCCCCTGGCATTGGCAATGGCACGCGTGTTCGGCCGCTCCCACTGGTGGGTGACAGGTCCTTGAAGGCGCTGCTTGCCCAGGAGGAGGAGACCAAGCGGAAGGCGCAAGTTGTCAAGAAAAAGAACACGGATCCTAGTGTCAAGTTTAAGTCGCGGAAGGGACCAGACGGCATGGAACGGGTAAGGCTCAGAAAGATGTTTTTTGGAGGAAAAGGACATGACGCACGCACGAACATGACGCCGATGCGAAAACGGCTTTTTGAGGAAAAGACACTTCTTCCCCTTCGCGCGAAGGTGGAGAAGTAACGTGATGAAAAAGGTTAGCAACCCGGAGAGCATCTATACATTCAGGGGCTGGCGTCAGGTCTCCAGCCGGCACCGCAAGGTAGTCTGGGAGGCTTGCCTGCTTTTGTCCGGGCAGCAGCACAGCATATGAGCATAACGCTCGAGTGCTTACACAACAGCCGCATGATGGGCATTCCCCAGGCACTACGTGCGGTCCGACATGCTCAGCCGCGCTTTATTAATGCGTTCTTATGCTCAAAAGCTGTTCAACTGGACGTGTTTTCAATTAAATTTGGTTATGCACTAAGGAGCCTCAGCGACACCCCACTTGAAAGGCATGCCAGATGATGCCAACCGGCGAATGATGAAACTTTGAAATAAGCTTGATAGTAGATCCCGAGGCGCTTCGCGCCTGTGGCGATGAAAATGAATGACGCCATTGGCAATCTGGAAAGGACTAGCTGGCTCGATGGCTATGAAGCGAGGGGGCTGTGAAGTGAGGAGAGGGGCCTTGCACGCAATTGCAGTGTGGTGAACCCCCAGTGCAACTAGCACTAAGCAGCCCCTCATGTTTATTTCACGCATACTTGAATGGCGGATTGAGCACCACTTTCTTGACCTTAATTTAGATCCCATACAGCTCAATTTGGAGCCCTGATGTCGATGCCAGGATGCTGACGCCATGAATTCCTCTAATCCGACACGATCAGCCTGGTTGCATGTGTGCTTCCCGTTCTGTCCCCTCACCCCTCCACCCCTTTTCATACAAGTTTTTTCACTCCGCCGTTGATAAGCATGCACCAGGCGGTGTTCTCTTTCTTCTCCCCATAATACACATGGGCACCAGCACTCATTTTTCCACTGTTGAGAAGGTTAAGAGCAGCTGGGTGACCTGTTGCGCTTCGGCCGGCTGAGGCATGACATGATATCGCACCTCCTGTGACCCCTCGGCCGCTTTTATGGCGTCGAAGGAAACTCCATCCGGGAAAGGGTACACTTCCATTCTTACCCTTTGCTGTGCTGTTCGGTTTCCATGCAATGGCAGATGTCCCTCCAGTGTATCCGATTACTTAAATCCACGCTGTGTCTCCCTCACCATTTCGTACTCGTCAAATACCTAGACTACCCTGGAGCTACTTAATACGCTGGTGCCACCCGTTTGGATGCAACCTAGCTACGTGCCTGCTCTTCCGGATAAGCCCGCCTGCGTCGTCACCGGTCTACCGGCACGTTACCGAGACCCTGCCACGCGCGCGCCCTTTGCGAACACACTGGCATTCAAGCGCCTGCGCACTGGGGCGGGGCCGCTGCCGCCGGCTCTGCAGCAGGAACTCGTGCTACATCATCACATGGAACAGTTTCAGCGGCAGCAGCAACAGCTGTCCGGTCGGGCACAGCACGCGTTGCTGGATCAGTTACAGGCGCAGAAGCAACGTACGGAGAAGCTGGCAGAGGACGCTCGCGCTTTTGCGGCCATGGCGATTGCTAACCTGCACGCGCCCGAGCCACTGCCGCAAGTGAGTGAGAGCCTCACGTGCGTATGCATGGGAGTGGGGTCGTTCGGGTGACAGTGGCAGTCGAGAGGGACATTTCCTTGCATTGTCTGGCTGCGTGTGTGCGCGCATGCCAGGAGGGTCAGGTGTACAGATCACCTAGCGGGAAGTGGGTCTAGGGATGGGTGCTGGGTAGCGATACGTGCGTAGATGATAGGTGACGCGGGCTGCATGCGGCGTGGCAGACTTGATAGGAATGAGCATATGGTTGCATATCCGACATCTAGGTTTGCTTGCTACCAATTTTACCCCGTGCAGGGCCCCACCGTGGACGTCATGGCACAGGTGGTGGATGCACATCGGTCCCTAATGGCAACAGCGTCCTAGCGAATCGCGATGGCTGATGGCAGCCTCTTAAACTTCTTCTAAGGAACTCAATAACATGAGCGGAACTTGATGTGAAAAATGGTTGGGTTTGAGTGGTCCATGATAAATGAGTAGGCTGAATAGCCGTTAGGTCAGTTTGGATTGTGATTCTTGGCTAGTGTTACAGATTAATAATTGGATCTAGATTCTAGAGATGAAAAATGTCGTACATGGAGTGGAGAATGAAGCAAGCGTTAAGAGTTGGCTATGCCATGATGAACTAGCTGCACTGCCCAAGTATCATTACAACCATGGCGTGGCTTTTGATTTGCAGTGCCACGCCCATTGCCCAAATCGCACATAGCCATGAACCAGTCAGTGCTTTGCACAGCTGCGTGCCTCGTTCGTTTTGATCACTCACTCGTTGATGAGGCGAATGCGGGATAGATACTGTGTGTCGTCGCATAATCACCCAGATTACTAGTGCGGCACACCGTACCTCCCTGTTTTCCCTCCCTTAACCGCCTTCACAACTACATAAACCGACAGCACGAATTCGTCTTGCGCGCCTGCTTGTAGAACATTTGACTAGCGAGGCTGAGGTCATTGCTCTTGTCTACAAGTGCGTCAAGCTTCTCGCCTCGCTTGAGGACACTGTCGATGGTCTGGTGTAAGATGATCTTGGTCTCGTCCAGGTCCTTCTGAATTTTGGCAATCTTGTCCGCCTGAGTATGGTCCTGTAAAAGGCAACCATGCACTTGGTCAGCCCCACTCCCCCAAATGTGAAGCTTACAAAGCTACAGCGACTAGTGCCGCAAACCCCAGTACCTGGTACTTGACCAGCGCAGCTTCTAGGAGCGGATTCGCCAGGGTGCTGTCAGCATCCAGAGCACGCCAGCTATCATCCTGGCCATATTGCTGCATGAAGTCGTCAAGCACCTTCCCAATAACAGAGAAAGCCGCTGTCGTCGGGTACTCCCCGTCCGCCACAACGATGCCTGCAATCCCATTGTCCTTGACATGGACGTGGCACAGGTAGTCCTCGTTTTTTACCGTCTGCCGCATTCCTGGCTGTGTCCGCTGTGCTATAGTCCGCGCGATAAACATAATCCCCTCACGAACCGTTCCTCGCTGGAAGTAGCCAAAGTTTGAAACATCCGTCGCCATTCCAATGAACGTCGGTGGGGTCGCATCTCCCTTGTAGAGGAGCAATCCAACACCAACTAAGCGCATCCCTGTAGCTACCTGGTAACTAGCAAAATAGGATTAAAGGACAGAAAGCCTGGTAAAACTAGATCTCCTCCTTGCTCAGAGGGGTATCAGCAAATTGAGGAAGTTGGTAGCGATCGGAAGTTCCAGAGCCGAAGCCACTTTTTGGGAACGGAAATAGAGATCGTTTCAAAGACACGAATAATCAAAATTGCATGGAACTTCCTTTACATTGCTGCGGTCCCCGCGGGTCACTGCCCAACGCAGAGTTACGGCATGGTACGGCAAGCTTTGCCATACTGGCCTCTTCCTATCTGTTATACAAATTAATAGCTAACGCTGCCCCTCCTTTTCGCCTGTAAGTCGTAACCATGTCAGCGCTGCTTCTAGCTGTCACCGCCGCGCTTGCGGCGGTGTTGCAAGCACAGAGCCTTTCTCCCGAGGAGATTTTTAAGCGATCAGAAGCGCTTCAAAGCTGGGTTATCGAGCAACGCAGGGAATTTCATAAAACACCTGAGCCTGGTTTTACGGAATACAAGACGCGGAGTCGCATCATGCGCTTCTTGGAGAGCCAGCACATCATGTACAGGTAGCCGCCGTACAGATGGCAGAGCTGCATGACTTCTTCGGGAAAACAACTGATAGTGTGGTCATGTTAGGCTCGGGAGTAATTGCGAGAAACCCCCGGAACCGCACGGTTTGACCATCCGCCGCTGTACACCATGTCCATCCACGCAACGCCCTCCTTAACCTCACAAGATGCTTCCCCTGGATCTTCGCTTTGCTCTTAATAGTTCAGGCCACGCTGCTAACGCTGGGCTGATCCCGCGCACAGGTACCCGTTTGCCAAGACGGGCCTGGTAGCTTACATTGGCTCCGGAAAGCCCGTGGTCGCCCTGCGAACGGACTTGGACGGTCTGCCCATCCTGGAGCCCGATGGCGTTCCGTACAAAAGCCAGGTATTGATTCACCTCACCCACTCTTGTTCCCTCCTAAACACGTGTGAAAGATGAGCTCACCGCCTACCGCGTTATCCGCGTTCGGATACGTTCGCTCCCGTACCCCCCTCCCTAATTCCTGAATTTACCAATGCGTTCCCTCCTTCATCTTCCTTCAGCCAATGCGTTCCCTCCTTCATCTTCCTTCAGAACGACGGTTGGATGCACGCTTGCGGTCATGACGGTCACATGGCCATGTTGCTGGGAGCCGCCAAGTTGCTGAAGGAGGCGTCTGACCAGGGGGAGCTCCCGCCCGGATCCATCCGCATCGTGTTCCAGCCGGCAGAGGAGGGCGGCGCGGGGGGAGACTTGATGATACGAGAAGGTGGGGGTGCGGAAGGACTTGATGATACGAGAAGGTGGGGGTGCGGAAGGACTTGATGATACGAGAAGGTGGGGGTGCGGAAGGACTTGATGATACGAGAAGGTGGGGGTGCGGAAGGACTTGATGATACGAGAAGGTGGGGGTGCGGAAGGACTTGATGATACGAGAAGGTGGGGGTGCGGAAGGACTTGATGATACGAGAAGGTGGGGGTGCGGAAGGACTTGATGATACGAGAAGGTGGGGGTGCGGAAGGACTTGATGATACGAGAAGGTGGGGGTGCGGAAGGACTTGATGATACGAGAAGGTGGGGGTGCGGAAGGACTTGATGATACGAGAAGGTGGGGGTGCGGAAGGACTTGATGATACGAGAAGGTGGGGGTGCGGAAGGACTTGATGATACGAGAAGGTGGGGGTGCGGAAGGGCGGCCGCGGAAAAGCGGGGTGTTGTGGGTCCTGGCGTTCCTGGGTCACGTGTCATATGAGACGCACAACGAAGCCGGCAGGTACATCATCGGGAAGGTGAGTGAGCCAGGTGCGTCCCATTGCTGCTACTGCGCTGCTGCCAATACTGGCGCTGCTGCTGCCGATACCGCAGCTGGCGCCAGTACCCCAGGACAGATCGCAACCACCAACATACCGAAGGCTATTTTAAAGGTGTTCTGTGTCCTGAGGCTCCTGGTCGGATTACCTGGTGGGATCTTGGATTTTGGCCCTGGGTTCCAGAATCTGGGTTGTTGGAGATCTGGTTTCGGATCTGGTTTTAAGAGGGCTGCGTGTGATGAGGGCTAACAGCCAAAGCTCGTGGGTGTCTGCAACCCGGCCGTTTATTTAGGTGCTTTAGGTGTTTGGGGGCTTTGCTCCAACGTGGACGTCCGCACGTGGGAAACGAGGGCGAAAAAAGGGCGAAAAAGAGGGCGAAGATGGGTTAACGTAGCACATACACGCATCTGCATGGGCATTTTCTTCACCGCGGCTCAGATTACCAAGACGCAAACACACACACACACACACACACACACAGGCATCTACGTGTTGACTCCGCCAACCCATTGCCCCCGTTGCTCTTTCTCTTCCCGTTTCCCCCCTTTCTTCTCTTCCCCACTTCCTCCCCCCCCTCACACAGGTGCCCTGGAGGACATCGAGGCCGCATTTGCGATGCACGTGATGCCCCACCTGTCGAGTGGCTCCATCCACACACGCCCGGGCACCATCATGGCGGGCGCGCTGTCCTTCCGAGTCACGGTCAGGGGGCGCGGAGGCCATGCCGCCATGCCGCACCTCAATATCGACCCGGTGGTAGCGGCCGCGGGCCTTATCTCCGCCCTACAGGTGAGATTCGCCCCCTTGGAGGTGAGCTTCGCCCCTTGGAGGTTGCCTCGTTATTTTTGGAGTTACACATGCAAATGCACCCCGGCCCTGTGTATGCATATTGCTGCCAGACTGACTGACTGATAGACTGGCGGGCGGGCAGACAGACTGGCGGGCGGACGACTGCATGAGTTCTATCTGGGTCCCGCCGCCGCTGCTGCCGCAGCCGCCACGGTCGCTGCCACCGCCATGTCACCACCGTCGTTGGTCCCCCACCCCCATCATGTTGCCTCGCGGGGCTCTGTGAGGCGCTCAATACTGCCGCTCCCGATTCCATTCCGCTTCCCCTTCCCCCTTTGTCGGCAGTGGCTTTCAACCTGACTACTGGATATTATTTCTCCCCCCTCCTGTGGCTTCCTTTCCCCCTCACCCCACCTACCCCTCCCCTGCTTTTTGCGTATGATTTCCCCCCACCACCTCCGCCATCCCCGATCCTGCTGATGATGGCCAGACGGTGGTCAGTCGTGAGACTTCCCCCCTAGGCTCCGGCGTGCTGAGCATCACCATGCTGCGAGCCGGTGACGCGTACAACGTCATTCCCGACGAGGTCGTGTTTGGGGGAACCATTCGGTGAGATACGAAGAGCAAGGAAGGGAGGGAGGGAGAAAGGGATGGGGAGCGAGGGAGGGAGAGAGAGCGAGAGAGCGAGAGGCGGAGCAGCAGCTGTTGCTGCTGCTGCTGCTGCCGTGTCGATGCGTGCGTGCGTGGTTGCATACTTTAGCTGGCTGTGTTGGTGGTGGCCCTGTCAGCATACGGCTGAGGTTGGCGACCATGCGGTTGCTTGGTGATGTTTGGCGGAGTAGCGCCGGGAAACGGAAGATGGCGTCCCTCCTCTCAACCCCTCGCCATGTGGGATGTGGCACACACACACACACCCGCCATCCGACCGCCGCATCACCAATGCACGCTTCTTCGCCATCTTCATCCTCGCTCCCCATCATCATCATCATCCTTCCACTCCTCCCCTTCATTCTCATGGCCTTCACTTTCATCAGTGGCCTAACCCACGAGCACCTGATGTTCATGAAGCGCCGGTTGGAGGAGATGGCGCCCGCGGTGGTCGCGGGGTACGGCTGCAATGCCACCGTGGATTGGCGGCTGGAAGAACAGCCGTACTACCCGCCAACGGTCAACGACGAGCGGATGGCAACTTTTGCGCTGCAGGTGCGTCTGGGTTGGAGCTTGGGGGCTCCTATTAGCAATGCTGCTGCTGCTGCTGCTGATATTGGCAATATGATCTTGTTGTTGCTGCTGTTGGTGTTATTGCTGTTGTTGTGCAGACGGCCGCCACTCTGCTGGGCACGGATCAGTCCCAAATCGCGGAGCCGCTCATGACGGGGGAGGACTTTGCGTTCTTCTGCCGGCAGGTGGGCGGGGGGGTTGTGTGAACACGCGGAGGGGGCCGTCTACCCTCCGTCCTGACCCTGCCTCCTGCCACCTCCAGCTCCATGTACATCCTAAGGTGTGTGTGTATCTGTGTTTGGGGGGGAAAGAGGAGGAGGAGGGCTGTCCTCCAACCTCTCTCCCGTCTCACGGCTCCGTCACCCTCGCTCGCGTTTCCATCCCCCCCCGACCCCCTTCCCCCCCTTCCCCCCCTCGACCACCTCCCTCCCCCCCAGGTACCTTGTGCGCTGCTGTTCCTGGGCATTCGCAACGAGTCCGCAGGTTCCGTACACGCGCTGCACAGCCCCAAGTGAGTTCACTGCCTAAGCCTTGGGGACCCTTGGGGCCTGAGGACGTTGGGGTCCACGGGTTTAGGACTCCACCCGTGACGCACTTGATGGGCCCAGGCTTCCTTGGCCTGCGGGTGCGGGTGCGGGTGCGGGGTGCAGGTGTGGGTGCACCCACATCCTCCTTGGCCGTGGGCGCGTGTGAGCCTGGCCTGGCGAGGGACTCTTTCCCCTCGCGAGGGACTCTTTTCCTCTCAGTTCTCTATCTCTGTCTCTCTCCCTCGCCCGCTCGCTCATGCGTGCGCGACATCGTGTTTGCCTCTTGCACATGATATGTCCGTCTGTCTGTGCACGTGTATGTGTAACAATCTATCGATATTCATGTCATGAACACGTGCGACTTGAAATGGTTGGCATTTTTAGGTTGACTTGAAATGGTTGGCATCTTTTCCCCATATTTAGGTTGACTTCCCATTTACTTCATGCCCCAACCCCGGGCGGATCCCGCGTCTGCTTTCTCCCCCCCACACACCACCACCACCACCACCAGGTTTACCCTGGATGAGAGTGTGCTACACAAGGGGGTGGCCATGCACGCGACATTGGCTGTCGAGTATCTTAAAACCTTTGCGGTGGCCCCGGACGCCTCGTCTGCTAAAGCTTCAGCGTCGGCGGCAACTACTACTGGTGGCGGTGGCGCTGCTGGTGACGATGAGGATGAGTACGACGACGACCGCGTGTCCAAAGACGAACTTTAAAGCAAGTGGGCCTTTTTGCTTGAAGAGTCTTTTTTGTCGCTTGTTCTGGAAGTTGGCCTGGCGTGGGATAATCGTCAGAGAAGCAGCTGAAGAAAGGCTGTTGGGATTGTTTCGCTGCCGGGGCCGCGTTGATGTGTTACGTGGCGAGGTGGGTTATTGTGGTAAGGGATGAAAAAGAGGGAAGGAGGGAGAGGACGGACGGGGGAGAAGAATATTTGCTTTTGCCTACGAAGGACGATGTAGGGTTGGGGTGGAGGGTTAGGGTTGAGGGTTGGAGTGGAGATTGTCATTTTGAGTCCGGAGGTTCCTGGCGGGCGGGGCGGGGCGGGGGGGTCTTGCGAGGGTCCAGCAGCGCAGCGTGTTGGTCAGCAGGCTGGGGCCCCCGGGTCTCTAACACCCGGCAGCAGTAGCAGCAGCAGCAGTAGCAGCAGTAGCAGCAGCATCCTTGTATGACCCACCCACCCACCCCCCGAGCGTCATCACGACTCGACTGGCTCCATTCCTCGGCGATTCGGGATGCTTGTGACATCGACCTCCGGGGAGGGAGGGGGGGGAGGGCAATGGGTGGCGGATAAAGGCTTTCTGTTGGCTGTTAGGTGTGTGCGTGTGTATATATGGAGTGTGTATGGTTGCGTTTACGTGTACGACGTAAGGTGCGGTGAGCACCTCAACGAGGTGTTTGAACCCGGGAGGGGGGGAGGGCGCCGGAGGGGGGCGGGGGCAGTCAGTAGGATGTGGACGGCATTTAAGAAGGCGCCTCGCGTTGCTTGTTAAAAAGGATGTTTCCAATATGTTTTCAATATTTTGTGACTGTCCTGGTTTTTATGCGGGTACGACAGCACGGGCGATGCTGTGGACGTGGGCTTGGGGGGAAGAGGTGGCCGAAGGTCACCTATAGCATGAGCAGCAGCAGCAGCAGCATAAAAACAGCGGGGGCCACTGAAAAAATACAGCAGGACGGCGATGGTGGTGATGGTGGTGGTGATAAGGATGAGAAGGATGGCAATTGCGATGCAATACTGGGGACTTGACTCGTCTGTATCAAAGTGCAGCCACGTGGAGTGTTTTCCCTTGCCGGCGCCATGACGGGGTTCCTGAGGGCTGTTGAGTACTATTGAGTACTTGCGTGCTTTGTTCAGATGGGCAGCTGATTAAGGACAGGTACGGAGTGCATATAGGTCCTACCTGGGCCGCTTTGACGTGTGCCTCGTAGGTGGGCTCGTAGCGTGCGCACGGTCTCTATGCACGTGTTGCAAGTGCGCCGAGCAGCACTGTTTGTCTGCTGTGTGTGTGTGTGTGTGTATGTGTGTGTATGTGTGTGTGTCTCTAGACGTACCTCTTCCTTGCCAACCCGCGCATCTTGCTCGCATTCTGTTCTGTCTTCGTCGTCGTCCTGCCGCGGGGGTTCGCCTCGGGCTCCACCTTGCTATATTGGAGTTGAAAGACCTTGACCTGGCCATCTTGGCGCCGTACATGCGAAGATAGCCCCCTGGGAGGTGCCTGAGCTGTGCCATACCGTAACGCGCCACGGCGGGAAGATGCGAAGAACCAAAGAGACTCGACGTACGGCCACTCGGTGAACCGTTGGTATACTTTTTGTACTACTTGCACGTAATGCAATTTGGATGGAGGTGTGGTTTATTGTACAGCGGCCGCTGCGCCCTGTGTGTAATAGCAGCAGGTGAGCAAGCTAAGCCAGGGGCAGGGCCTCTTTGTAAGGAGCCTGTTCGAGTCAAGTCAGTGAACACACAACGCGGTAATCGGCCTTTAGTCGGGAAGGCAGCGAAGAGGTCTGCGAGAGCCTGCGGACAACCGGCGGCCCGTATCATGCACATGCTTCGTACTGCAGCAAGATGTTCAGCTGCCCGTAGTAATATATTTTAAGAGTAGGAGAAGGAGTACTGATCGCAGTAGTAGTGCTGGTAGTAATAGTTAGTGATGGGAGTAGTGGTAACAGTAGTAGTAATAGGAGGAGGAAAGGGGGCCCAGGCCAGGGTGTGAAGGTAGCTAACACGTGTGTGGTGTGTGGAGCATGTTTGGGCGGTCCGAGATCCAGGAGATGGTAGTGTACCATCCTTTTGGACTAGGAAGCTACCAGAGGAGGTGGCTTTCACCGAGGCCAGCGGCTTTTTATCCAGGACAGGATTGAACGCACCCCCTTGGCGCCTCTGCACCCATAAAAATAATGCACGATTTGCCTGTTCCCCACTTGCATGACATACAGGAACCCCTGGCATGAACGCACCGCAGGCGCGCGGTGTGCCCTTAGCGCTTTGGGCCACCGCAAGCCTTCATCCGTCTCGTTCCCTTGCGATAGCACGCGAAATACAAATATCTGCTTCGTTTATCGCCCGTGACGGTCCGTGCGCGTTGGGTACGGCTGTTTAAAACTGTAACGGTAGTACAAACTGCCTGCTACTGTATTCCTTACGGAATCGCAACCTAGTCCTCAGATAGTATCCTGCAATGGACTTTCCCTAACGGTGATAATAACGCACGACGCTGTGTGATGCACTCCCAAACACAATTTCCTGGGCTTCGAGACTGAGCTTAGTTCCACACCCATGACGCACGACTATAAAATAAAAAAATGGACTAGGTAAACCACCTTCAAGCGTAATTGTGTAGGTGCACTACGATTTGGCAACGCAAACAGGCTAGCAAGGGTCCCTGGGCTGGAAGAAAACGTTTATTCGCTGAAAGAGATATGAATCCTTGATGCGCTTTACGAAAGAATGAATTGACCCGTGCAAAGTTATGATAACTGGCTTGCATGGAAATGGGAACTTTACGTTATGGCACGTTGGCCCTTGAATGTCGTTCGTCGATATTGTTCGCGCGTGCTCCGATGCTCTGAGCCATCTATGATCTATATGCATAACACAGATGACATTTTAAACACACTGTTAGAAGTACTCAAACTATCTTGTTGTGTTCTAAAATCGATCCATGAGCTCCCGCGCTGCCGGCAACTAAGTAGTTAACTCACACCAGATAGCAACATCGGCATATTGGAAATGCCAGCTGTTTCCAGCGCGGCAGGCCTCTTGGCTCTCCTTGACGAGCCCAGTGACGATCTCAAGCAGCATGCTCTCTCTCACTTGAACAAGGTATTTGGGCTGAAACATGTAACCGGCAGCCCCATTTTGGTCGATACAGAGATCTGGCCATGCTGGAGTTTTATGTTGCTTGGCGGCACAGCCTCCCGACTGTCGCGCCCTTTGGTTCCTTAGTCGATGGGGAGGCCTGACTGTTCACGTGTTTCTCCGGGCAGGTGGTTCATGACTACTGGTTCCAAATATCGGGGTCCATCGGTAGCGTGGAAGCACTTTACGAGGACGATGACTTCGCGCATCGCGAGCTAGCGGCACTTGTAGCTTCAAAGGTACGGAGCTTAATGCATATGGGCAGCAGCGGGAGCTCTTTTTATTCGCGGGGAACCATCATCCGTGTCTCGCGTCACAACGCTGGTCAGGAGGTGCCGCTCGTTATTCCCTATGCGGCGTGTACGGCAAATACCGTGTTGGGCCATGAGGCTTCTTCACGGCTCACCCGGCATGATGTCCTCATGTTCTGCCTCATGACCATGCCACACACCACATTACACGTTTTCTCCAGATGCAAGAGGGGAAAGCTGGGGAAAAGCTGGGGGAACGGCCCACTACCAGGGTATGAAGGCCCACTACCCGGGGGACACGCTACCCACCATGTGTTGGACCCTTACTCTCCCCGGCGTTATTGAATATCCGTCAGCACGTCCTCCCTCCTCCTCTCCGCCGTGGTGGCGCTGGGGGCTTCTGAATCTGCCGCCTTTACCAGGTCATATATCTCACCGCATTCTTGTGTGACATGAGTGGAGAACAAGCCCCAACCCGCTTCCCCACCACTTGACCATCCTCCGGTTACCGCGACCCCCAACCCCCTTCGTCTCTCCTTCCTCCCCTTGTGCATCACACCGCTCTTGTGCAAGCCAGGTCTTCTATCACCTAGGTGAGCTGGATGACGCGCTCACCTACGCACTGGGCGCGGGCTCCCTCTTTGACGTCGAGGACCAGTCCGAGTACGTCACCACGCTTGTCGGTGAGTGAGGAGGGAGGGAGGGGTGAGAGGCAGGGCGTTGGACGGGGTTGCGTTGTGCCTGCCAGATTGCAATGCGCGGTGTGAATGGGTGGTGGGCGGTTGTGGGGAAGGGGGAAGAGGAAATGGATGAATCCTTTCGACCGGACCACTCCAGCCACGTACGGCCGAGGCCGAGGCCAAGCTCATCCCCCCACGGCACGGCTCGGTAGCACAGCAGCACTAGCCACCGATGGAGTGGAGTGGAGTGTGGAGTGGTGCGTGGAGTGGAGCGGCCGCGATGCGATGTGCAAGGTTGCGGTACCCGCGTAATACCCAAATTAATGTAAAGACCCAAACCAAATTTGCGTAAAAATTAAAGTTTCTAGAGGACAAACGATTTAGAGCGGTTGCATGACGCGATGCTGCGCTTTCTGCATGCTACCTGTTGTTGTAGCAGGGGAGCGCCCACACCCGGAACGTGGGGAGCAAACCGCCTTCTCGGTTGAGGGGGGGGGATATTTCCGAGTGGGCGCCGACTGCGTGAAGTCGTCAGTAGCTTTCTACAGGGGGGGAGTAGGAGCAGGGGCAGTAGTCCAACCTTGGGCTGGTTGCCTGTGGATGGTTGCAGCGCATAGCACATATCGTATTTCGCACAGTGATTGAAGCAGCCTTGAACCCCCTCGAACACACATCAAGACATACATACATGGTTGAAGGCATTGCGCCCCTAGTTGATGGACGGTGGTGACCTGGGAATAAAGTTAACCTGCGAGCCGACCAGGAACGGAGTTGGGCCGCTGTCGACCCGGCAGGTTCCGTTGGATGCTGGTGGTGGGTGCGGAACCTGAGCGATCCACTGAGAAGTTGACTAGGGTGACTGGATGAGGGTGCCCCGAAATACCGGGGAAGGCAGGGTTTCGCAGGGTAGCTGCCACGGGCGAAGATACACCCCCCTGTTTCACGCATCATACATACGTACACGCCTACATACCTACATACGTACGTACGTACATATGTACGTAACGACACGTGCGCAATGGACCGTTTTGGACATGGCCCGCGCCCCCTTCCCCCCCGCCACACATGTTTCCTTCCTTTCCTTGATCTCGCCCTGCCTGCTCTCTCTCCCCCCTTGCTGCCCGCCCAGCTCGCTGCTTGGACCAGTACTTTGAGAAGCGGGTCCGGCAGTCGGAGGGCCGGGGGGAGGAGAGCGAGACGGTCATTGACTCCCGGCTGACGGCCATCGTGGAGAGAATGCTGGACAAGTGAGTGAGCGGGCCCAGGGCGGCCCCCGGCTGGGGTTTTAGGAGGGGGGCTGCGGGGCTTGGGGATTTTTGGGGGGGGAAAACGGGGTTTGCGGGAAGTGGGTCTGAGGGCAAGTACGACATGCACTACTGCTGCGGGAGGCATCGCATCACATCACATCACACAACCAAAACAAGGGTGTAAAGACGCGGTGGGAGTTTAGCTGTTCAAAGAGGGAGGTTGGGGGCGGGGGGCCTCTGGCCGGGTTGGAGACTGGGAGAGCAGGTGGTGTGTACGTGTGTCTGAGGGCGTGGGTCACATAAACATAAACTGGGATGACTTTGCATTGGGGTGCTTTAAACCTACGTTGTGTTTTGCTAGGTAGTAGGTACATGGGGGGAGGGGGAGAGAATGTGAAACGACCTGGAACGTACCACGGGCCGCTAGGCAAGTGCACGCAGTAGTTACGAAGAACTTTGCGCCACCACCACCACCACCACCACCATACCACCACCTGGCAATAGCCACCAGCAGCCACCAAACCTTCGTGTAGTCGTGTCCATCGGTGTTTGGTTTCCAACATGTTCAGATGGCGGTGATGGTTGTGGGTGTGTGTGTGTGTGTTGGGGCGTGTGTGTGTTGGGGCGTGTGTGTGTGTCTCGAGGAGATCTGAGGGGAGGAGGGGGGATTCCCCGGAGGGGATGCTGTACTACGCTAGACTCGGCGCCACTCGCACCCTCAGCCCTCCCCTCCGCAGCGTACGCCTCTGCTATACTCACCACCACCAGAGAAGAATAGCATGGCCCTGCGCAGTCCGAGGATGACACTCACAAATCGAGAAACGGTTTCAAAACACGCACCCACGCACCCTCCCTTCCACCCCACGGGCCCCCACACACAAATACTCAACATTTCACCCTTCTTTACCCCTTCACCTTTCTTCACCCCTTCACAGATGCCTCTCCGCCGGGCAGTACGATCAGGCCATCGGTGTGGCTCTGGAGGGCAGGCGGCTGGACAAGCTGGAGGAGGTGATTCTGCGGGCTCCGGCGGGGGAGGAGCGCACTCGGGTGCTCAAGTACGCTCTGAGGGTGTGTCAGCAGCTCATCGTCAGCCGGGAGTTCCGGCAGCAGGTTCGTCGTAAGAGGAGTGGAGGGGTGGGGGTGGTAATGGCTGAGAGGGGAGAGGGGAGAGGAGGAAGAGAAGGGAAGAGAAATAAGGAATGTACTTTTTAGGTGGGGGCGCAGATTGTATGTATACGCGGAGTGCGGGGAACCGGCTGTTGATGCGCATGACTGTGCGAGGGGGTGCGTGTGTGGGGTTAAGGTTTTTGGATCGGAATCCCCTTACCTCCCTGTGCTGCTAGTCCTGCTGCTGGTGTGCTCATTCCCCCCTTCTTCACCCCCTCCCCCTCCCTTTCCTCCCCCCTCCCCCTACTGGTCACTTCTGCTTCTTGTACACTCTTTCCTTTCACAGCAGCTTCACTCGTTTATGGCTCGTCTTTCCCCCTCTTCCCCCTCTCCCCCTTCAGGTGCTCCGGCTGGTTATTCGTTTGTACGAGAGTGTTCCCTCTCCCGACTGGTTGGATATCTGCCAGTGCCTCATGTTCCTGGACGATGCCCCCGAGGTGGCGCGGATCCTAAACAAGCTACTACAGGGGGGAGAGGTAGGGCGTGTGTGAGCCTGTTCGGGATGTAGGACTGTCTGTGCGTTGGGGATGTAGCGTTGTGCATCCAGGTATGGCCGCCAGGAGGCGATGTGCCTCGTTTGTGTGTGCTTTGTGACGTTGAAGCAAGTCAACTGCAAAAAACCCTGAAAAGCGGCAGGGGTGGTGGTGGTGGTGGTCCAGGTGGTGATGGTGGTGGTGGTGGTCCAGGTGGTGGTGGTCCAGGTGGTGGTGGTCCAGGTGGTGGTGGTGGTCCAGGTGGTGGTGGTGGTGGTGGTGGTCCAGGATACTGGCCCTACGTCTCAACTGATCTTATCGGGTCTCACGAATCCGCTACTCGTTGTGCACCATGGTAGAACTCCCAACCAACCCTTTTTCACCAACCTCTTCAAGCTCCTCTATTACCCTCGCTTCCCTCTTCCCCACCCCCACCCCCCTCCAACACACGCACACACACCGTGTGTTGATCAGGAGGAGGAGTTGTTGGCCTACCAGATTGGGTTCGATCTGGTCGAGAACGAGCTGCAGTCCTTCCTGGGAGAGGTGGCGGCCCGGCTGGAGCAGCAGCAGCAGATAGCGGCTCCGGAGGCGGTGGACGCGGCACCCGAGGGTGAGTGCGTGGTGGGCAGAAGGCGCGTGTAGGGTGGTGGTGGTGGTGGTGGTATGTTTTGTGTGTCTAGGGGGTTTGAGGGAGGAGAGGGGAGAGTCAGAGCTGGAGCTGGGGCGAGGCAAGCTGGGAGTGCCGCTCGCAGGCGGCCATGTTCCCCAACCTATAACCCGTATCCACCCATTCAACTCCCCGCCACACACAGCCCGCCTAAGCGCTGCCCGCCTCTCTTTCCGCCTTCTCCTCCATCCCTCCCGTCACACACCGTGTTCTCTATCTATCTATCTATCTATCTATCTATCTATCTATCTATCTATCTATCTACACGTCTATTTTAGAAATATACATATATATTTATGTATCCCGCATCCGCCTTCCGCTCTCTCTCCCTCTATCGTAACCTAATCACTTTCAAACTAAACTGCGATTCCTCGTTCCACCCCGCACCCCCCCTCTCGGTCTACCTGTGCTCTTCCCTCCCACCCACCCACCCACATACCCAACCATTTGGGTACCCCGCGGAATAGCGGCTGCCATGGACACGGACGCACCTGCTGGGGCTGCTGCAGCTGCTGGCGGTGGCGGCGGCCCCCTGGCGGCCCGAGTGGCTAAGCTGCGAGACATCCTGTCCGGCAAGACACCCATCGCCCTGTATCTGGACTTTCTGTACAGGTGTGTTTAGGGGGGGGGGAAATGGGGATTGATGGCTGGCTGGGGGTGGTGGGGGCAAAGGAAGCGAGCCAGCGGATGGCTGACGGGGGGGGGGTCGGATGGAGTTAGGAGTTAGCATTGTGAGCCACCTCAAGGTGGAGGGGGGCGGGAAATGGTCGCTAAAGCGATATCAGTGAAAGCATGAGACCCGAACCTAAAAACACGAACAGCCCGGACGAGAGGAGATGGTGTCATAGGTCAGATGAGGTGGCTGGATGGCTGCTTGCTTGGGGGAGAGGGGTTGTGCATGTGTGAATGTATGTGTGTATGTATGTGTATGTATGTATGTGTGTGTGGCATTAGGTGCCCTGTCAGTCCTTTCGAAAAAGATGCTCCCTCCACGTCGCCCTCTCCTCTTTCACCAGACTAGATCTCACCGGGGCCCTCCCCCCCTCCCTTTCCTATCCTCCTCCCCCTTCCGCATTTCCGCTGCTCCGGCCCCTCCCCCTTCAGGCACAACCACGCGGATCTACAGGTGCTTAAGAACATCAAGGGCGCGGTGGACGCCCGTGTGTCTGTATGTCACTCCGCCACCATCGCCGCCAACGCGCTCATGCACGCGGGCTCCACCGTCGACACGTTTCTGCGGACCAACTTGGAGTGGCTGGCCAGGGCGACCAACTGGGCCAAGTTCTCGGCGACGGCGTCGCTGGGGGTCATCCACCGGGGCCACCTGGCGCAGGGCCGCGCTCTCATGGCGCCCTACCTGCCGCGAGGGGATGCGGCCGCCGCCGCGGCGGCCGCTGCCGGCGGCGGCGGCGGCGGCACTTCCTACAGCGAGGGCGGTGCGTTATACGCCCTGGGCCTCATCTACGCCAATCACGGTCAGGACATCCGGCAGTTCCTGTTGGAGAGCCTGCGGGGCACTTCGAACGAGGTCACGCAGCACGGGGCCTGCCTGGGGCTGGGTGAGTGTGGCGGAGATGGTGGGGATGGGGAAGAACAGTGAAAAATATATTCTCAAAGGAAACAATGGGGGGGTTGGCGGGGAAAACTAAAGAAAGGGCGTGAAGGGAGGGGTGAAGGGAGCGGGCGGGGATAATTAAGCGGTGATGTTGGGGCCCGTGCAGCGTGCAGGTGGGTGCACACTGGCGGGTTTGAGGTAATTTTTTTGCAAGGGCACGGGCTTTTTTTGGGGGGGGGGCCGGCGAGTGTGTTTATGTGCGTATTGGCGGGAGGGGAAGCGCGCAACTGGCATGGAGATGTGTGGGCGGAGGGGGAAAGCACAGATACCACCCTAGTCACTCTTGGTCAGTAACTTAGGAAGGAAATGTTTTCCTGCAGTACCTGTCTATTCCGCCTATCTCTTGTCTATCTCTGGTATCTGCTTCGAAACAATCGTCTGTGGTTCGTCTGTAGGTCTTGCTGCTCTTGGCACTGACGACGAGGAGGCTCTGGAGGACATCAAGAACGTGCTTTACAGCGACAGCGCGGTGGCGGGGGAGGCGGCGGGCATCTCCCTTGGGCTGCTGTGCTGCGGCAGTGGGGGGGAGCGGGTGGCGGCGGAGGCGCTGGCGTATGCACACGATACACAGCATGAGAAGATCATTCGAGGTGAGCTCGGGGTGCGTGGGCCGTGTATGTATGTATGTATGTATGAATGGATGGAGGTGTGAATGGATGGGGGTGTGAATGGATGGAGGTGTGAATGGATGGAGGTGTGAATGGATGGAGGTGTGAATGGATGGAGGTGTGGATGGATGGAGGTGTGGATGGATGGAGGTGTGGATGGATGGAGGTGTGGATGGATGGAGGTGTGGATGGATGGATGGATGGATGGATGGATGGATGTGGCGAAGAGGTGTGTGGTCCATCTACTTTTTGATTTTAGCCCCGTGGCCCTGGGCGGCTCTGCTAGGGCACTGCTAGGGTTGGTAGCTACTATCCTTTTTTTGGGGTGTTGGGGAAAGCGGGGCGGGGGGTTCTCGTCTCTGTCGCCCAGAGCAGCCGTGTGGCTGTTTTCCGCCTGGCAAAAGACTTCACACCGCCGGGCGCTCTAGCTGCCCGGCCTTGGTACAGTAATATAGCCGTTCTCCTGTCGGAACTATCATCACGAACAGGATTCCTGCGTGGTAATGCAAACAGCATTCCAGCACGTTGTTGTATGCAACGATGGGCTCAGGGTTTTAGGGTTTTTAGGGTTTAGTTGCCTTAACTGAAGGGGGGGATTACGTGCTGGAGGAAATCAGAAATGAACTGCCGGAGGGCGTCTAAAGAGGAGGAAGGGGAGAGGACAGGCTGATGTTGCGCTGTGGCGGATTTGACGTTGCTGGGTGACTGCCCCCCTTATATACCCCGCTTCCCGCACCTTATTCCGCACTCCCACTCCGCGACCATGCCTTCCCTCGCGTTGCGGTTGTGCTGTCCATCCCCCCCCACCATCACCACCACCACCACTACCCACCGCCCGGCTCCCACCACCCCGCGTCGTTCATCATTCGCGCATTACCTCGCCGCAGGTGTCGCCCTAGGTTTGGCGCTGATGCAGTACGGGCGGGAGGAGGCGGCGGAGGCGCTGATTGAGCAAATGACGCGCGACGCAGATCCCATCATCCGCTACGGCGGAATGTACGTCATTGGAATGGCGTACAGGTACGGAGCGCCTCCAGGATCGGTATGCATACAGCAAGAACTGGCATTCCGGCTGTCCATCCCTCTTTTCCTGTGTCCCTTGCTATTGTACTATTATGCTACTGCTTTTAGTTGGTTGCCAAATGTTGTTGAGAGAGTCCTGTCTGTCTTGTTCCAATTTTCTGGCCCCTGCATCTTGATGATGATGATGTGTCGTTGCTGTACAGGACGTGTGTAAGCTTGCATGTCCTGTGCTGGATGTGTTCTTTTGTCGCTGTGTTTCGTTTTCGCTCCCAGTAAGCCGCTGACAGGAGGACCCCTCTTCTGTCGCGTCCAGTTCCTCTCTCCCCCCTATCGTCCGTTAAAAAGACGCAACCCCCCTATCACCCCGCACTTTTCCCCCCTCCCCCTTGGACCTCGGGACCTCGGGACCTCGGGGACTCCCCCCCGTTTCACCGATGGTGCAACAACACAACAACACCTTATAGGGGCACCGACAACAACGGCGCTGTGCAGAAGCTGCTTTCCTTCGCCGTGTCGGATGTGAGCGACGACGTGCGGCGGGCCGCCGTGCTGTGCCTGGGCTTCGTGCTCATGAACGTGCCACACCAGTGCCCGCGGATTGTGGCGCTGCTGGCCGAGTCCTTCAACCCGCATGTGCGGTGAGTCGTCGTCGGGTAGCGTCCTCGGGTAAAGGAAGGGGGGGAGGGCCCCATTAAACAAGGAGGGGGGGGGGAATGAAAGCATTTTGCGTGTGTGTGTTTTGTTAGGTGTTGTTGTGTTACGGGAGATGGAGATGAGTTGTTTGAAACCTTCCGCGCCCTGTGGGTGTCGCTGGATGGATCGCTGGATGGATGCATGATGGATTTTGTGATATCATAAGGCCCAGGCGAACCAGTGGTCTCATGGACCGCTGAAATAGTGTAAAGGAAGGTAGCGGTAGCACATAGCTTCTGAAACAATGGAGGATTAAAGGCCTGTGGAGGCGGTGGTGAGTCAGTTGAATTCCTCTGTGGGGCGACACACGCACACACACACACACGCACACACACACTCCGTGTATCTGTGATATACACACATATGTGGGGTCGGTGGAACCCGACCCGCGTGGTTAGCTGCTGCAAATACGATGAACTGGGTGGGGCGCGGGTTTTGGTCTTGATGTTCGTTGCAGGTACGGCGCCGCCATGGCTGTGGGTCTGGCTTGCGGGGGCACCGGCCTGAAGGAGGCGTTGGCGCTTTTGGAGCCCATGATGTCCGACCCCACGGACTACGTACGACAAGGCGCCCTCATCGCCATTGTGAGAGGCCCTGGGAGAGGAGCGTGATACCAGCATGTGTTGTGTTTAGTGGTAGTGGGTGTTAGTTAAGAAGTACGGCGGGTTTTGTGTCCTTTTATGGGTTGGGCTGTATGACAGCTCGGTTTGGTTTTCCTTAGGGTTCACCCTTGCCGTTGTGTTTCACGCTAGCGACTGGGCTTTGCTGAAGCTACAGCCTAAGTTGCAAATTATGTCGACGCGTGGTGTGGGGCGTGACCAGTGGTGCGCAGGGTGGCGCGTGTCGCTCGTGATTCCACCTGACCGTTCCCATACCCATGCCCTCCACGCATCTGCTCGTCACTTACTGAACCCCCCACACACAACGACACTCACACACACCACCTCGCAGGCACTGGTGCTGATTCAGCAGCCCGAGTCCCGCGTGGCGCCCTTCCGTAAGCGACTGGACAAATTCATTACGGAGAAGCATGAGGAGGTGGGTGGGGGGGCAAGGCGCAAGGCGGGTGGTGCAGGTTGGGAGATGAGGCCCAGTGTGTGTGTGTGGGGGGGGGAATGTCGCTGGCGTGTGCGCACGCATGCAGTGTTAAGGAAGGGGAAACATTGGCTACGTCAAAATGCAGCGCAACAGTAATGTTTGACAGAAAACATGGGGCAGGGAATCATTGGTCTGAGGTTTTTATACGGGGCCTTCGTTGAGAGGAGGGTTCGTTGCTTTTTCGGAAATGTGTGTTGGAGGCCTCCTCGACCTGAGCCACAACCCCCCAACTGACACTTCCTCACAGCCTTCTTGAAACCTCACTTTGCTCTGCAGCAGACGGTGCTTCGGATGCCGGCAGTTGGTCCACTGCTTCAATTCCTGTTTTTCCTCCCCACCCCACACTTTTTTCCGCTATTTTCCCGCCATTTCCCCCCCTCATCATTTCACGCGACCCCGCAGGTGATGTGCAAGATGGGCGCCATCATCGCAGCCGGCATTCTGGATGGCGGCGGCCGCAACACCACCATCGGACTGCGCTCCAGGTCGGGCTATTTCCGACGGACTTCGGTGGTGGGCCTTGCCGTGTTCACACAGTACTGGTGAGTGAGTGCGTGCGTGAGTGCGTGAGTGCCGCGCGCTGGTCACACCGCTCTCCACTGGTATCACCCTCCTTACCACCCTCCTACTCTTCGCGCCACGCTACACATCACAACCAAATGCTCTGCATTTCAATCAATAGTACAATTTACACGGCACGGCCAATCGGGGCGGTCCTATTTAAATTCCCTCTCCTACGGGCCCTTGCGTGGCGCGTTCAAAAAACGTTTTCCAGGGTCGTGGCAAGCTTCCATGACTCGGAATCCGCCACTCTGTCCACATCAGCCGCCCCGTCGTGGTGAAATTAAATCTGCACCCTGCCACCACCCTTCTTTTTTGCTGTTGCCGTGCTGCTGTCCTCGCGCCTGTTGCACGTGATCAGGTACTGGTACCCGCTGTTGTACTTCCTGAGCCTGGCCTTTCAACCCAGTGTCCTCATCGCCCTCAACTCGGACCTGAAGATGCCCAAGGCCGCCTTCACGTGCAACTGCAAGCCCTCCATCTTTGCCTACCCGCCGCCGCTCACAGCGGAGCTCAAGGAGACGGTAAGTGGTACACGAGAGGCCATGAGAAGCAAAGGGGGAGGGTGGGAGGGAGGAAGGTGACCCAGAAAAAGGAGAGAAAAGGAGAAGGGGTTAAAGAGCGGTATCCCTGATGCTTGTAGGGAGCTTTGGGGCTACAAACCAGGACTTTACCTGTAGCCTGTAGGTAGTGTGGTGGTCGGAGCTGTTTGGCCCCGACGAACTGACGGTGTGTGGCTTTGCACTGCGTCGCACGTTGTCCACGTCATGTAGAAGTCCAAGGTGCCAACCGCTGTCTTGTCAACCACCGCCAAGGCGGCGGAGCGGCAGCGCAAGAAGGCGGCAGAGAAGGAGAAGGCGGCAGCTGGCGGTCCAGCCGCGGCGGCAGCGCCTGCGGCGGCTTCCGCGGCGCCAGTGGCAGCCACCGAGGCCGCCGCCAAGCCCGCGGATGGCAAGGCTGAGGATGGAGGTGCGTGATTTCATAACTTGTCGAGCTCCTATTGCATGAATGAGAAGTCGGCGGACTTGGCTATACCTCTGGTAGGCCGAAGGTCCCGGCGTGAGCGTTTGGGACGCAGGTGCTACCAGTCCGCGTTTTGGTATAGACCGCAAGGGTGGATGTCGTGCACGTTTTTTCTCTCGGCTGCCTTCTTTCGGGTTGTGTCGTGGTTGCGATTGGACACGGGGTGTCCTGAGCTATGTGTTCTTTATATTGTTCGGTTGTGCGTTTTATCTTACTTTTTGTTGGTTCTCTCGCGGTGGTAACCCATCTGGCCGCGCACGGGGGCACTACTGTGGCCGATGGCTGAACTTTGTACGGTCCAGCTCTCATCCTGTCTTCAACCTCTCGGTTTATCTGTAATCCCCTTAACATCCTCTCACAACCTCAGCTGACAAGATGGAGACCGACGAGGCTGGAGCCGCCGGGGGCGCCAAGAAGCCAGAGGCCGAGCCCAGCAGTTACACGCTGGAGAATCCCGCCCGCGTGCCGCCGGGTCAGGCGCGCTTCGTGGTGCTGCCCACCAGCGGCCGCTGGCTGCCAGTTAAACGGGAATCGCCTGTGGGCATCCTGGTGATGCGCGATACGCAACCCGGAGAGCCGCAGGAGCTGGTTACGGCGCAGGGAGACGGAGCGGCTGCGGCTGCGGCCACAGCCCCGGCGGCGGCGGCTACAGCGCCGGCGGCGGCAGCGCCGGCGGCAGGAGATATGGACGACGAGCCGCCGCCACCGGCGCCGTTCACGTATCAGCCTTGATGCGTATTTGCTTGGGTTTTCTTTCGTGTGTTTGCTTGGGCTTTTCGCTTGAAGCAGAGTTGCGTAACGGGACGAGGCGCAGGAGAGTCGAAGTGTAGGTCAAGGTCTATAATTTAGTGCTGGTAAGACGGAGCTGCTTAGATACTATGTTAGGGACAGTAATATCAACAATTTTTATAGTATATTACGTAAATGCGCGTCGGATTGAAGGTTTGGTTAAAACTTTGTAAAACTTTGTTGTTTAGCAGAAGTGCAATGTACCAGCTCGCGGCCAACTTCAGCAACGGTCGTAGCTCAGATTTCTCTTCCTCTAAAAATTGATGACGTGTTAGGAAATGTATCCTTTCGTTACATTCGAATCAAATAGACGTTGCGGCTAGTTTAAAGAGAAAATCCCGTAGTGAATTTAAACTGTAAGAAAATTGATACATTATGTATAATCCTGGGTTAGTTTCGTGGAAAATTGCGCTGCCCTTTTTGTCACAAGTACATAAACGCAGTAATGAAGCCTGTGCCATTATAATGGCGAAACCCAACTAACCACATGGTGAGGCCGATTCGTAGTGTCATATACCTGAACAAGTGAAAACCCCTCCCATCACTCCGCACGGCACGCTGCTCGGTCCTTCAGCACACCATGGACATTGACACCAAATCGCGCAGAACATGTTCACAGAAGCGCACATCTTGGCGCTGCCAAAGAGACGACTGATCAGCGACTCTCCTTCAATCGTCACCCTTGCACGAAGACCCAGACGCCGAGGACCGCTTCACCACCACGTTCGGCGGTCATACTAACAGAAAACTTCTGCTGCTATCACAAACAGCAAGGCGTTCCCATTGAGGAGCTTTTTAAGGACGAAACGGACGGACAGGACATGACGTATCCAACTCATTCGCTCAGGTCACGTGTATACAGGACCAATCCGGCAGGGACAGCACGTCCGCCTCTTCCCGAACCCTTCCATTTTCCATATCCTCCAAAAACGATATCCATACAACACTGTTGCAAGCCACAAACATGACGGCGTACTGGACTCTCCTTATGCACGGGGTAAAGTAAACGCTACGAAAAACTGAACCAACGGACTGATAAGTTAACGTACAGGAAGCGCCCACAGGCCACCAAGCAGCCGTAGGAGCGCCGCGACCATGGGAGTACCAACCCATCTCGGCAGAGCTGCCACCGGCAGGGCAGCAATACAGATGGCCCAACATAGCAGAGCTACCTACCTTCCAGACAGGCTTTCGATACGGTGCTTGGCGTTACAACGTCCTGTGGTAACCCATTCCCAACGGCCATCACAGATACGCTAATGCAACATGAAACCTTTACACAAGCAAAGCTAAAAGCGAGGCAGGTATGTTATATTCCTACAACAGCATTTACCTATTCAGGGCAGGAGAAGAGCAACAACACCATAATCTATCCGAAGAGGAGAAATCAAAAGACACCAAGACTCACACCAACTGTGCAAACGCCGACCGTCCGCGTCCTAGTCCGAATTACCCGATCGTCGAGCAACAACATACATTTGTTTCGCATCATGAATGGTTATTGCTCAGCAGTCACACGGACATACGCATACGCACACAGAGGAGACACATGTGTGTCAAGAACGGTGCAAACACAGCACAGCGGATGCCTAGCTAACCGGCATTCACAACCAGAAAATGAAGGATTTCAAGATAGCCCAAGATTGCACAGTCCTGCACATCCGCCGCAAGCCATCCAAGCCCTGTCGTCGACTCCACAAGCACTACTCTCCTAGGCAACAACTGCACATTATCCCTGCGCCCTCGCACTTCAAATCCGGTTCAGCCAAATCGCAAAACGTTTCATAGGATCCAATCCCGGGGCCAAGTTGTGCCCAGCCAGGCACGACGGCCCACGCCAGCCGTCCGTCACCTGAACTTTCTCAAAGCTCAAAAGGAAAGCTGCATGCATGCCGCTGCAGAGGAGAGCAATGCTTTTCCGACGCGGGAATCTTCAAGCGCAAATGCCCTCATTAATACATGCGCCATGCGGGCCAATTTTGTAGACCAATGCCGAGGTACCGTCCGACGGCCTGCGTCCTGGAGGCTGAAGCAGCAAGTGGGCGTTTCCCTTGAATGGGACGACGCCCGCTGCCAAGGATCGTTGCCACGGCCACAGGCGGCAAATGCGAGAGCTCCGCAGCAGCTTCGGCCCTTTCCGTGACACAACCAAGTGCGAATGACCTAAGCCATGGCTCCCTTCACATGCTCATGCGCATGCAGGCACGCCGTGTATCTCCTCACCAGCACAATAGGGAAAGATGAGGGACCAGGGTACTTCTTGAAGTTGCTTCCACTCGACGCACTTCACACAGGTTCAACGCATCCAGCATCCCATAAAAATGCGGGACTTAAACCCTGCGCGGAGGTTGAGTGTACTGAAAGCTGCTCAGTCTTCTCACAAAGCTTTCCCTTCCCGCGTGTATGCCTCGCTGAGCAGCGCAAACCGCGCGCGATGACCGGCGGCGTCACGGGACCACACGAGCTCTACCATGGGCAAGTGCCACCGGCCACATAACCAAACATCTCCACATGATAATGCGAACCATAACCGATGCCCTATCGCCCGACAATGCCAGGTCCACTCTCACAAGCTCTATATAGCAAATGGCTATGAAGCTGACGCGGCCACCTCAGTCGCAGATTGCTCTACTTGCTACACTCATCAACACTAATATCCCAATCCTCTATGAACTCCGCTACGGCCTCCCGATCTCTCAGCACACACACTCCTTATGCAAGCTTGCGGGCGGCCTGCGCAAACGTGTGCGTTTTGCTGAGCATCCACAGCGTATGCACGTGCGTGCACAGCGCGTGCCACAGGTTTCGCCGCTCCAGCAATTTGATGCCGTGCTTTTGGCAGATGGCCCGGTACTTTGGATACATGGCCGTCAGCTGCGTGTAGCTAACCCCGGGAATGATGTGGTGCAAGCTCTGCATATTGAGCCCGATGGTTAGGTAGGACCACAGATAGCTGTCCTGGGAATAGTCCACGGAGGTGAGGGCCATTCGACGAGCCCAGTGGAGCTTCTCCAACTCCGCCGAGGGCCCCTCCGCGTCCAACTGGATGTGGGACACCTGGGCGATGACCTGATTGGAGAGAAGGGCGGGGAAGCGGTGCCCATGAATTCTTGTAGAGGAGACAGCTGTCGAGCTGTTGTACGGGTTGTGAAAAAAATCAGATTGCGCTTCATGCGTTATGCCATGCATGCGTTGTTATCTGCTAAACCCTAAGCCCCCGGCCACGTTTCGCGGATATTTCCAGCCCGACATCCTGTCATCAGATGAAACAACGTGCCTAGTGCCCTAAGACACCATAGCCCTGGCGGGTTCAATATCGTGGCATGGACTCTTGCCGCAGATATCCAGCTTATGCGTCCCCATCCCCAGTTCTGACTCGAAGAGGTTACGGGCTTGCAAACGCGGAGTTGCCTCGCTTTCCCATCGAGCACGGTCATAAGCCCATCTGACCCCCTCCAACCAGGCTGCCCCAGCAACAGGGAGGGGGGCGCCTCCCAGCTCGCTGAAACCCAACTGTCAACCCTAGAAACCTGACAATCGGTAACGATCCTACCATGAACGCGATGCTCATCATGAAGGTTGGGAAGAACGTCAGAAGGCAGGCGCGCCCGAAGGAGAAGCGCATGAAAGGGATCACATAGAACGCCGCCGCCGTAATGACCTGTGCCATGCAAAGCCAAACAGCACCGTAGGCGCAGCCTGGTTGGTCTGGGTGGACACGGCTTACACAATCCCGGCAGATATATAAATACAACAATATGATCCATACAGATATAGCGTAGTTGATGACGAAATGCACAGATTCAACCCAAATCACAGGTGCGGCACTCTTAATGTGTGACACGTGCAAGCCTTCGGCTAGGTACGGCGGCCAACAACTGTGGTCAGTCGGCCATTGAGTGCTGCGGAAACGGTCGGCCCTTTGTAACTGTCTATGACATCGTTATCGTCTCCGCATTATGGGGCTGATGCTACCCTGATGCGTACACAAAGGACCGCTCCTCCCAGTCTCCCGTCTTGCGAGCCATCACTTGCCTGCAGCACAATGCTGGCATGGTACTGAGCGAGCGTCTGCACATCCTGAGCCGTTTTGGCGTCCACGTGGCCTTTCCGGCGCGCCATAAGGCCGCGGAAGTATGTAACAGGTGACAACACTGTGAGGCCGAGGTGCGCCATGAGGTACATCGCAAGGTGACCCAGGAGGCGCAGGACGTGGTGGACGGTGGTAGGGGGAAGGGACTGTTCTGGATGGATGCGCATGTAGGGGTGGTGGGAGTCCAAGTCGCAGTCCTTTCCGTGGAGATTGGTGTAGGAGTGATGGAGAATATTGTGCTGGAGGTACCAGCACCCAGAACTATTGGTGATGAGCGCAGCTGTGAGGTTGAGGATCTTATTCACCGAAGCGTTACGGCTTAGCGCGAAGTGCCCTCCATCGTGCACCAGTGCCGCGCAGAGAACCCAAAGGAAGTACGGGAGCAGGAATGCTGATATAAAAGCGCCTTGATACCACAGGCGGAGCGAGTAAACCAGGCCAACCACATGCAGGCAGTGCAGGATCATAAATGGCGTTGACATTTTCGTGTTGCCGTGCTCGCGCACCATAGCCTTGACGTCCTCATAGAAGGGATCGCTCTGATGGGCTGAGAATGCAGACTTCTGAAGGCCAATAACTGCCGCGGCGTCTGCCTCGCTGTCCAACCTGTCGATTGGCGCCGAGACTAAGGTACCCTTCAGGTTGTTGGCGACCAGCTTTGAGGACGGTAGCGATATGCGGAAGCGCTCAAGCACACGCAAATGCTTGTTATTCAGGACATGATACTGCTCGAAAAGTTCTGTGCAGTCACGTCCTCGGCCAAGGAGAATGGCATCGACTCCACCTGGGTGCTTCGCCACATAGCTTGCCAAGTCGTAAGCCTGCCCATGAATCACCCAGTAATCATGAGGTGCCTCCGGCACTGCAGCAGGGGCACTACTTTCGGAAAGCTGACACATAGCCGCCTCCCCGGAGGGTGAAAAATGGACTCGGTTTCCGCAGAAAGCTAAGGCTCAGCACCAGAAACCAGTGGTAAACTTCTGATATAAAAAAATTACATATACCGCCGACGTGGTCACCTGTAAGCCGCAGGTACACTTAGGTCGTTGTAATCGTACAAAACGATAGAACGGTCGCGCTCCTCGCGCGGGAACTGAGACCTATCCGGCACCTTTAGAATTTTATTTGCCCTGTCACGTTTGTCCTTACTGTACAACTGCTCGTTTCATTAGATTCATGACCGTGTTTTCGCACTTGTACCCTGACAAAGCGGCAGGGCCACTAATCCTGCTGATTCCTCGCACAGAATCGTTTCCAAATTTTCTAAAACTTCAGTTTATATGCACATCCTGAAAAAGTCACAATAACAATATCGATCCAGCCGTCGCAGCGCTACCCGCCAGTCCCGAGTTGGGCAACATCCGGACCGTGGGCCTTCAAACGATATGGCGGCTTGGCAGGAGCGTGGCAGTGGCTTATACGATATTTCTAACGTTGCCCCGCGGCACGCCAGCAGGCACGGCAAGATGCCTGTGGAGAGTCCCGTCCAGCTTTTCCTGGCGCTGGTGCGTGCGTGTCAGGTTTGCCTGGATCCCCCACTCCGACACCACCCTGGGAATCGACTAGCATATGGCTGTGATATCTCCCGACACAAACCCCAGCTCCAGCCCCAGCTCCAGCTCCAGCCAACGCAATCCACCAAGGGGCAACCTTCGGACGGTAACACAACTCAAGGTGTATCACATACACACTCTTTAATGGAGGGCTCGCTTCCTCCTTCTCACAATGGCTTGGAACTTTCCTCTCCATGAAAGCGTCTCCTTTGGCATGTAGGAAACAGGGGCGCGCGTTTTGGTTGGTTCTCCGTCATGTGAATTTCGCTTCTTCGCTACACATACGTACATGCAAGCATTGTTAAAATAAGGATTTTAACGGCCCCAGCTGCACATTCTGCACATTGAACGGCCCCAGCTGCAAACAAACAAACTAACGGGAAAATTGCGAAGCCGCACACTTTTCGTCAGAACTACTTGCGCTGCTTTTTTTTGGACATCATAAATGTCTTGTTTTCGCTGAAAAAAAACTTCAAATATTAAGCACAAGAACCAACAAAGAGGTGATGTCCATGACACGTGAAGAAGAACAAAAGTAGTAAATAGTCCTTAACACCTCTTATCCACCCATTGGGTCGTCATTCTAGCAAACCCTCCCAGTGTTACCGCACTTTCCTCCCCTTCTCTTCCCCGCGACACACATCACCCTAAGAAACCCTATTCTTTTTGCTCACGTACTGGCCTATTCTGCTGTGACCCAGATCGAGGCGGCCGGTGTCCGCGGCTGGGTGACCCCGGAGCGCGGAGGTGGGGCAGCAGCAATGTCGGCGGCCGCAGCGGCGGCTGTAGCCGGGCCTCTGGAGGTTGCGGATCCCAGGCGACTTCGACGGCACCTGGAGTCACGTCTGAAGCGGTGTGTGGGTGCACAGTTATGTGTGACTGCCAGCCGAAAAAAGAACGGCCTTGAGCGCAGAAGCGGTTTTTGTGCCTCTGCCGGCATCCATTCCTTGGGCAAGAGAGAGAGAGAGAGAGAGAGAGAGAGAGAGAGAGAAAGAGAAAGAGAAACATAACCCCCCTAAACTCCTTGAAGGCTCCCAAACAAACTAAAGATCAAGGAACACGGCAGCCGAGAAATGGTTTTTCCTGGGAGACATTACGTGTAGAAACGTTTTCCCCCGCCCTACCTGCTATGTCAGTTTATACATCTCTTTGGCACCTCGTCATTGGTTTGTCTTTTTTCCCCCCTTTTCCTAGCTGCCCTTGCCCTCGTCCTTCTGCACGCACGACACCTCCTTCACCCCACTCCCCTCGCCTCCCCTCTCCCCGTACTGACCCGCACTTACAACAGCAGCAAATCCCCTCCGCCTGACGCCCCCCGCCGCCTGACGCCCCCCTCCCGCGGGCTCGCCTCCCCACCTCCCGAAGGGATGAGGCTGTACGTCAGCGGTGGCTGCAGGGCCTGCAGGAAGCCTGTGAGGATGTGGAGGCCCTGCACAGGTGAGGTGGTGGTGGAGAGGGTGCAGGGCACACACCATGCCGCGCTGCCCTGCCCCGCTGCCCCGCTCTGCTCTGCCCTGCCCGACCAATACTACAGACTTCCTGGAGTGGTAAGGTCCCCCGGGGGGCCAAGATGTCCCCTCGTACCCCTCCGGTAGCCGCCAGCTGCCCCGCTCGCCTTCGTGGTGCCTCCTCCCCCAACACCACTTCCCCTTCCCCACACGCCCATAACCATCAATACAGCCGTCGTCATCGTCATCATCAGGCGCGGCCTCACCGGGTTGAGCCGCTTGCCCTCAAAAAGTGCCGGGAGTGCAGTACCCTCCTAACCTCCTTCTCTCCTTTACCCTGGAAACAAGTACCCCGGCTTAAGTACCCCCCTCAAGACGAAATCCCCCTCATCCTTACCCCCGCCCCTGGCAGCAGCTTCAATCGTGTGTGGTTCGTCTTTACCCCCGTCCCGGCCCCCCCCACCATAGGGCCCTCCTGCCTATGCTGCTGGCAGCGGCTCCCTCAGCGGGGCCTGGACCTGGTTCCGGAGCGGTTCACCTGTACGGCGGGTTCGGGGAGGGTGGTAATGCGGGCGGTAGCTGCGGGGATTCCTTCCTTCGGTGTGTCCTGGGGGTGGCGTGTCTGCAGGTAAGGTTATGTGTGTATGTAAATGTATGTACGACCATGTACGGCATGTAACTGGAATTTGGAGGTGTATGTTTCGGTTTGGGTAGAGTGGAGTAGTAGTAGTGGAGGGGATAGGACGTCTGGATTGGGAATGGCAGGCAGAAGGGGAGGGGTAAGGGGAAAGGCGGTTTCTCCTGGGCGGTGTGGGACAGTGTATGGGGTTTCATAACAAATGTAGACGTCGTACATGCCCCCTCCCTCTCCCTCCCTCGCCCTCGCCCTAGATCTCCCTCCACCTCCCTCCCTATCCCATCCTCCACGTATCGTGTCCTCCACTACTCCCAGCCATCCGAGTATACGACTTCGGATGCGTGTGTACGGCATGTATATCATTATGTTCCGTACAATCCCGTACGCGTTGACCAAGGTGCTTACCGCCCTCATCCCACTCTCCCTTCCGGGGGCTCGTACCCGTCCCTCGCCCTCCATTGTTTCCAGGTTCCCGTGGCAACGTGGCTCCTACAGAGGTTGCCTGTTTTGGCAATGGCGGAACCCCCCGACGGGGGGGGCCCCTCCGTGCCCAGCGGTCTTCGGGGAGTGGCAGCCGGCGGGCCCGAATGTACGGGCGGCGTGCCGGGCCTTATCCTCAGCCAGCTTCGATGGTACGGCGAACTGTCCGACTAACCTGACCTGTACTGTTCCGTACTGCTCCGTTCCGTCGTACATTTGTGTTGTTAAGTTGAAATGAACGACGGCGGGGGAGGCAGGGTGGAGGGTGCAGTGAAAAGGGGGGGAGGAAAAGAGAGAGAGAAACACCTTACAAGTTAAAAAAGGAAAGCTACTGGTGGATTTCCTCATGTTGGACCAAAAGAGGGGAGGGGGCCGCGGATGAGGGACTTCTAGATGTGGGTTTGGGGGGGGTTGGGGCTTGGAAATGACGGGCTCTTGGGGACTTAGGGTTTTAGGGGTTGTGCGGTTTTCCGGGGTTTTAGTTGGGCGCAGGTCTGGTCAGGTCGGGTTCCTGAGGGCACCGATGTGGCCCCTCAACGATGGGGATATCTCCAGTCGTAGGCAAGGTGTCGTACACTTTGCAGTACGAGTGATGGACGAGCAGGCCTACCTGAACCACCCTCTTCCTCCTCTTGTTCTCTTGTTCCGCCTCTTTTAGACTTTTTAGAATCCCCCTTCCCGTCTCCGTCTCCGTCTCCCTTGCGTTTTTTTCCTAATCATTTTCGTATGTACATACATACATACATACACACACGTGCGTACACGCCCGCAGGCTGGACGTCCTTCCGGACTGCGGCGGTTTCGGAGCCGGCGATGGTTCTACTGATGGCAATCGTAGTGGTGGCGGTGGTGGTGGTGGTGGCGATGGTGGTTCCTCTTCCCTTGTGGACGTGGTGTTGGAGGTTCTCCCTCTGACTCCCCCCGGACTGCAGCGGCAGCTCATTGAGTTGCTACCGGAGGTGGCGGCAGGGGATGACCACCCGGTAGGGTTGTCCTCCTCCTCCTCCTCCTCCTCCTCGTTCTGCAGGGGAGGGGTGTTTCTCGTCTTGCTTCGCCTCGTTGCCCCGGCTCTTATGCCAAGGTCATGTCCGTCGTGTACGGGATCGTGATCTTATACGTAACTGTGTACGGGATTATAACTGTACGGGATCGTGGTGTTATACGTAACTTTGTACGGGATTGTGACTGTACGGGATCGTGATTTGCACGCGTTTTTTTACGGGATCGTGTACGGATCGCGGTTGTGTTTCGGCCAGCCCGGACCCCGACCAGCCACTTCCTCCCCCCCTTTTACAGCGTATAGTTGAGAAGCTGGGCGAGCTGCTGGATTCGGAACTGGGTTTCGTGGCGCCCTCCTTGGAGGCTTTGCAGCAGCTGCAGCTGGGGCAGGAACTGCTTGACCAGGTGAGAGGAGTAGGGGTAGGGGTGTGAGGGGGGGGAGGGATGGGGCCAGGGAGTACGACAGGAGAAGGAGTTTAACGACAGTAGAACTGGAAGCGAAACGGTTGTTATGTTGGAATATCTTGGTATGAACATACATACATACCAACGAACGGACCGGGATGAGAGTGGCAGCAGGGTTTTTCTGTGTTGTGGTGGGGTGGGGGGAGGAGGGGAGGAGGGAGGAGGAAGAGCAGCGCAGCGCAAAACACAATCTTGCGTGCGCATGGCACTCCCGCATTGGGGTTTAGATCATTAAGACCGCAAGTTAAGTTATGGAATTGTTGGTCTGGTTCGAATTTTTGTGGGTGTTGCCAATCCCTGCCGTATACGTAACATAGTTGCCGTACATGCACGCAGGTCGTGCTTGACATGGTGCAACGCCTTCCTGGGGTAGACTCGGACGACTTGCCCGCACTTGTACGATTTGTCGTACAGTACAGCACAGGGCCGCCCTCGCCAGGCGCCTCCGCCAGCGCTGCCGCCGCCGCCACTGCCGCCGCTGCGACTGCGCCGCACGTCATCGCAGCGTTGCGAGGCGGGTTACCCATGGTGGACTTGAGTGACCCACGGGTCAGTGTGCCCGATCTGAAAGGAAAGCGTGGCGGCGGTGGCGGCGGGCGGGAGCCAGTGGAGGTTCGTGTGTTGCGAGAGTTGGCAGTGGCGCTGGCGGCGAACGACGCGGCGGCGGGTGCGGTCTTGCGGGTGCGTCGTGTGGGTGCCTAATCAGGCCCGTCTTATGTCTCAATTTCCGAAATTTGTAAAGACTTTCATGGTAATAGAATACACAATTTTAATAGATAAAAAATAGTGTCAAAATTGATATGGCGCTATGAAATAACTTAAGGTAAATAAATAGCATCAAAATTTTTGGAAAATCAAGTATTTCGATTATGCAAAAAGTTTATTGCATTTGAATTTAATTAATGCTGGATCCCATGCTGTATTTCTGCCCCTCGCCAAATTAGGCCATATCGGCCGCCGGGCGTCGCAGCGGGCGCGCCGGCTCCAGCGGATCATCTGCTCCGGATCTGGATCCTCATACAGGCGACGGTGAGGACCAGGCGAAGGAAGATCTGGATCTGGATCCAGGAGGCCGCGGCGGCGGTGCCGCAGGAGCCGCCGCCGCCACGGCTGCTTTAGCTGACGGGCCCGAAAAGCTCGTCCCACTGGACCTTTGGATCTTGATGACGCTGCTGGGAGGTCGCCGAGGGAAAGAAGCGGACAAGATTTTGCGCGCCAAAATTTGCGATGGTACGGCAATGCGAAAACGACTTGGGCTCTTGGGTACTGCCAGGCCGCCGGGTTTGATGTAATGGAGGACTTCAACAATCGGCACTTCCAGGTCTAAATCCATATTCGTACGTATGTACGACGGTTAAAAAACTGTGAAGCGACAAACTGCGGTTGTGAACTGTAACTTTTGTAACTTTGCAATAAAACTCTAACGCTCACCCCGGTTAGGTTATGTACGGCAATTTGGACTTTTATTCGCCAGAACCCAACTCCCCGCCTCCCCTCCCCCCCCACTTCCCCCTCCCGCCCCCGAATCTCTCAACAGGCACTGCCAGCCCTGCATGGTTATCCTCCGTGTTGCTCGGCCACTCCGCAGCTGTACGGGAGGTGTGGTCCGCCTCCCTGGCCTTGGCGGCCTCCCTGGCGCCAAGCCGGACGAGCACCCCCGGGGGCCCAGCGCTGGCAGCTGCGGCCGCCCGGCTGTATGCGGTCCTGTTCACGGCTGTGGGAGGAGGGCCGGACGGGTCGCTGCAGAGAATTGTAGGTGGCGGTGGTGGTGGTGATGGGCTGTTGAACACAAGCTTTATCGTGGATGGCTCGCATGCGCTGTTGCTGTAACGGCTCCGCCTTTAGCTTTGTTCGCTGGTTTTTTTTAGAGTAGTAGATGTTGTAGAGAGTGTGTGTGTGTAAGTTTGTGAGTTAGCTCTGGCGCCATTGGCCCCACGTGTCGCTCCACGTATTTCACATACATACATACATACATACATACATACATACATACATACATACATACATACATACATACATACATACATACATACATACATACATACATACATACATACATACATACATACATACATACATACATACATACATACATACATACATACATACATACATACATACATACATGCGCCGCAGGAGGTTCTTCACGCTCTCCACTCGCATTTGGGTTCCGGGGTGTCCGAGGAGGTGGACACAGCCCTCGGGGCCTTATGGCAGCTGGCGGAGGGTGAGGAAGAAAGGGAGGGGGTTGGGGAGTGAGGGAGTACGGGGGAGTACGGGGGAAAAACACACCCAGATCTGAAAAAGGGAAGAGGAGGGGGATGGAATGTGAGGAGGGGGGTTAATCGCGTGTGTGTGTGTGTGTTTTCCTGCTCTCGTCAATTCAGAGCTTGCCAATAAACCGTTGTTTGACGTATTTCTCTACGACCATGTGTCGTGTTACACGCCACGTGTCTCTCCTCCCAGTAGTAGTATTCGTACTCCTTCCACCTGTCGTACATCTAGTAAATATTTGAAGATGCGAATCCCACAAATGTATGGAAGCCCCAAATCGTGTTATTATCACTGCTACTGCTACTGCTACTGCTACTGCTACTGCTACAGCTGCTGTTCACTTCCAGCTATTTCCCGCTTGCTTGTTACTATACTTACAAGCTATCTATCAGAACTATCGCTATGCACCTGCCATCCCCCGAGCAGGCCCGCTCTCAAGGCCGCCCAAGGCCTTTGCAGCCGGCGGCGGCGGCGACGGCCCTCCTGCTCCGGTGTTGTCCCAGTACGGCAGTGCCCTGAGCAACTGCCTCGATCACCTGGAGTCCTTCACGGACTCCCAGTTGAGTCGGTTGTTCGACGTGCTGGCGGCTGTGACGGGGGGCTCGGAAGGTGAGGGGGGGAGGGGGAGGGAGGGGGGAAGGGGAGAGGGGAAGGAAGAGGGGAGGGAGTGCGGCTACGAAGGGTGGTACGAGGCTTGGCGGCGGGTGGTTGAGCCGGGGGCGGGTGGTGCCGCACCGTGTACCGCTCCGTACAGCTACACCGACAAAAATGCTGGTAACGTAATGGGCATTACTTTCGGACTTAATCATCGTCCCTAGGACTCCCTAGGACTAACTCACTCACTGGGGCCAGTTTCGGACTCTTTGGACGCCTTCCGGTAGCCAGGCAGGCGGTTCATTTCTTTGGCGGGTTTCTTTGCAGGGACGCATTTATGAGTCCCCCCTTTCCCCCCTTCCTGTCCGCCCCACGGGTGGGTTCCGCAGGTGTGGCGTGGAGGGCCGCCGCGGAGGCGCGTTCCGCTGGTAGCGGACGCGGCGACGGCGGGGGGGGCCCCGGCCGTCGAGCTGCCGTACGCGTCGCCGGCGGCGCTGGTGGCCGCCTGGAGAGCGAGGTCCAGATCGTGGTGGATAAGGCTCTGAAGGGTACGGCGTCGTACAAGCGGATCGGCATTGCCGGTGCCCTGGCGTTTCTGCGCCGCGTCGGCGGCGCGCTTGTACTTCTTGAGGGCGGCGGCGGCGGCGGCGGCGGCGGTCGCGAGGACGGTGATGGCGGCGGCGTTGACGGCTTTGGTGCGAAGCTATTTCGCTTCCGTGCTTACCTGTACGACTCAAACCTGTCCCTGTCCTCGTACCTCCCCTCCCCCCTCCCCCCTCCCCCCGCCCTCTTCCACACCCCTTCTCCCTCCCCCCATCCATGGACAGTTGGTAGTTTTGTTTGTTGCACGTAATCCCCCCCTGCTCCCCTCCCTTTCCGGTAAACCATCTCCCCTATCGTCCAGATCTCCTTCCCGCCTCGGCCACCTCCCTCACCTCTCCTTACACACATACGCACACACACCTCTTCCCACCAGCAATCGTCCCTTTCTTGACTTCTGTTACGCCTTCTTAACAGAAGGAGTCCTCCTCCCCCCTACCCCCCCGACTGGTCAGTTATGCCTTCTTTACTTCTGCAGCATCAGTCTTCCTTGGCAATACCTTCACTCGCTCGTGGTTTGTCTCCCCCCCTTTCCCTCCTTCACCTCGTGCAGGTCTTCTCCTCACGGAGTGGCGCAGCCGTCTGGATGACCTCGTAACGGCTACAGAGGGGCACGGGGCAGCCAGAGCACTAGCTCTGGGCCTTATCAACGACATGATCAGGGCGCCAGTGGCAGCAGGAGGTGGCGGCGGCAGCGCTGCCGGAGATGGTGGTGGAGCTGGTGCTGGTGGTGCTGGTGGTGCTGGTGGTGCTGGTGGTGCTGGTGGTGCTGGTGGTGCTGGTGGTGCTGGTGGTGCTGGTGGTGGTGATGCTTCGGAGGTATCCCGGTTTTGGGGATCGACGTTGCCCCGCGCAGCCCTGGAAGAGTTGTCGGCGGTGGTGCAAGCGGTGAGGGGAGGGTTGGGGTGAGGGGATGGTGGGGAGGAGGGTGGGGAGGGGGGAGTTGTGTATGCGGAAGGAATGTAATGCCGCCAAGCAGGCACTCCCACCCCTCATGGTGGGCAGGTGGGGCGGGTTGAAGACGGGGTGGGAATGGGGGAGAGGAGCGAGGGGTTGAGTTGGTGTGGTATGGCAGCGGCGATGTACGGCAGCAGGGTGCCTACGAAGCGAGGGGGCGGGGCGGGAGGAAAGAAGGCGAATAGGGTAGAGGGTGCCGTGTGCGTGTGTGTATGTGTATGTGTGCGTGCATATCGACAAACAGACAGAGGGACACAGAGGGACAGACGGAAATAGACTTGTAGCCGTTACGGGATTTCTTTTCTCTTTTCTCTTTTTTCGTAGGTAGCGCGGGAAATTTCTTCACTCGAGAGATCTCTCATGGGACACGAAACGCACACGAAACGCACACGTTCCCCGCTATTTGCGCCTTCGTGCCGCACCCTGTCGTACCCACCCTTCCTTCGTAGGGATTGTTGGAGCCAGCACTGGTGGTGGACTTGCCGCTGCAGGGGGAGGGGTCGGCGGCGGCGGCGGCTGGGGACTCGGCGGGTTTGGTTCCGGAGGTCGGAGGGCCGCCGTCGGAGGTTCGGGTTGCGGGTTGCAGCCGGCCTTTCGGGTATGTGTGTCTGTGTGTGGGGAGGGAGGGGGAGGGAGGGGGATTGGGGGAAATACCCAACGGGGGGACACACGCGCCAGGGAGGGTGGGAGGGAGTGGGGCGGGGGGAGGGGAAAGCAAAAGTCAAGCCTGGGTGGTGGCTTGTGAGTGGGTGGGGGAAAGACAGAATTTCCCGCCAGGGCGGCTTGGGTGGCGGGGGACTGGAGAGGTGAGTAAGTTAAGGATTGGGGAAAGGGGTTGCGGGTTGGGGGAATAATTGTATTGTTATGTTACGTAATTTAAGAGAAATTCCCACCAAATGCCAGCGGCTCCAAAGCTGGCAAAGTGAGCTGCTTCCGGAGTCCGCTGCCGTGATGCAGCTGCGGCCAAAATTTACCGACGTTTTTTGGGGGTTCGTCGTGTGCTCGTACACACCCGTACATGCCCTTACATGCCCGTACATACTCGTACAGTCGTCCTCAGCGCAGTAATGTTCCGCGGTGGTGTTGCTGGGCCGGAGAGACGTAGAGACGTCGTCGAAGGAATTCCGAGTGCAAACCGATTGTTGGATGGGAAGGGGGGAAAGGGGGGAAGGAAGGGGGAGAGCCACTCCCTCCAGAAACTCATGTCCTGCATTTGGCCAGTACTACACACCTGCACCCGCACCAGCACTTTTAGCCCCTCATTCGCACATTGCCTAGGCCGCCCTTTCTAACTGACCTTGCTGTACGGTGATGTTTCACCGCACCTCGATGTCTATATGGGTGTGGTAAAACAGCATCATGTATATATTATATATTTATACATGTATATAAGTACATATACATACATACATATGTACTTGTACGTGTTTGTATCTAACCCAACAGCCGTACTGATCTTACCCAACCCTCAAGCCTGTGTTTTCCTTCCCGCTGGGGTCCCACAAATCCCCTCACTGCCGTACTGCTCTGTGATGACAATTGCCGTACAGATGCTCCTTTTGGCTCAACGTTGACGAGCAAGAGACAACAGTAGCCATTAATGTACGACAGTACGGCAGCACAGCATGGGGAGGGAGATGTGTTATTCCTGGTGTAAAAGAAGTATCTTTTCGAGAAATTTAAATTTGGATGTATCTGTTGCACGTTGCTCTGCTTTCCTCGTCCCTGCCGTGCTGTGCTGTTTTTCCCCCAGATTCCCTTCCCTCCACAACCCTTACCAGCGATCCGAGGTTCCATCCAATTGTCCCAACTGTTTCAACTGTACCGTACCAACTGCCAAACCTACATAACTATCATACATGCAGTTGTGGCCGCTTGCTGCCAGTTCGGCTGTTAGGGAGCGGGACGTGCTGATGTGGATGGGACCCTGCCTCAGGTAAGGTTGGTGGTTGGTAAGTGGTAGTTGACTGTTGGTGGGTATGAAATTCTGCTTGGATTCTTGGTATATGGTGGTTAGGGGGGGTATGTGATGGTGTCGACTAGGACGAGCAGTTAATTGCGGGGGTAGCGGACCAAGGTCACTGTACGACGATGGAAACAACACGGGCAAGGCTCTGTCATCATCCCCCTACACACCACACACACACACACGTACACGCATGCACACTCGTACACGTGTCCTTCCCCTCACCTCAAATCCGTCTCTTCCCCACCCCTCGGTTCATGGTACGTCTTTCCCCGCACCTCGGTTCCCCCAACCCCTCCGTTACCCCCTAACCACTCCAATCCTTGCTTGCACCTGATTTCCCCCCCTTCACTCCCCCCTTTCACGTTCCCCCCCATCACTCCCCCCTTTCACTCCCCCCCCTTCACCCCGTAGCCTGGTGTGTTTGGTCAGTCGGTTGCTGTTCGGAGACCTGCAGGACGTGGACGGGTTGTTGGGATGTCCGTTGGTGATGTTTCCCGTGGAGCTGATCCAGGATGATGAGGTGGTTGGGTTGGTTGGGTTGGTTGGGGTACTTGAAGGATGTGGGGGAGGGGCCGAGGCTAGGAGTGGTGAGGACGGGGGTGGTCGGGGGGTTGGGGTGTGTAGAGGTGGGGGGTTAGTGCGGGAGGGATGGGGAGATGGGACGAAGGGGGTTGGGTTGTTAGAGGGGTGGTCAGGTTGGATTGGGGCCTATCTCACTTAGACATATATATACACACACACAGACACACACGCCAGCATCGCCATTTCCCTCATTGCGGCTTAGATGATTTACACACACGCACACACACACACACACACCACTGCTATGGCACTGTCTGACCATGTACATGGGAATATGTATCTCATGTCTGCCTCCCTGAGCCCGAGCTAAATCCCCCCAGCACCCGGAGCCTGCCGAAAAACCCACAGCTCATGACCCCTCGGTGAAATCCTCCGTCACGCCACGCCCTTCATGCCACCATCCCCGACCCGACCCGACCCCCCCCCAATCTGGCAGGGTGTCAACCACCTCCATGAGCTGCCTGTCGCAGTGTCCGGTGCGGTGCTGACATGTCTGCAGGTGTGCGGGGGGGAGGTAGGCAAGTAACGCAGGAGGTGTATGTTTGTGCGTATGTATGTGTATTACGTGCACATGTACGTTGTGAGACACTGGCCAAGGGAGCTGCCTGCCGTACAGGAAAAGCCGCCGAAACACATGCGTGCCTTTGTGTGCCTTTGCATGCAGACGTACGTAAATGTGTATGAGCACGTGCGGTTACGGATTGTGTTTTCTCTTCCCCCCCCCCGCGATCCCCAACCCAAGCCCCTCCCATTCCTCCTCCTTTCTCTTTAACAAACCCTAAACTTCCAACCCCTAACCGTCAACCATCCTACCCAGGCCGCCAGCACCTGGCTTAGAGAGGTGATCAACTGCTTCAGCCCCACCGTACCGACTGCGCTCCAGGGGTGGGTACATGCCTGTCTGTCTGTCTATCTGTCTGTCTGTATATATGTAAGTACACGTGTCTCTCTCTATAGATGCATGTGTATGTGTGCATGTGTATGTCTTCCCAACACCTGCTGTGCTGTTCCCTACCCCTTCCCCGCCTTTCCCCTCTCCCCCCTTTCCCGCCAACCCCCAGCCACCCCTGGAGTCAGGTCAGCACCGCCAAGCTGGCCAAGAGAGTATCCCACTGCGCGGCTCTGGAGGCGCTGGCGGCGGCGCTCATTGACAACCTCGCGGCCCCGAGGGGGGGTCTGGCGGCGATACAGGTGATGCGGAAAGGAGGGGGGGAAATGGACGGAGGGAGAGCGGGCGACTGGAGGGAACCCCCGATTCCCTAAACCACCCCTACAGCCTCCAAAGACCTCCATTACCGAATTCGAAAGCAAGTCATACGTAATATTGTTCGTTCCTTGTTTCTTTATTTCTTTACATTCCTGGCAGTAGCGCTACCCATATCACTTGTTGGGGTGTTCAAGACTCTTTGGTCTGCTGCTGGCCATTCCGTCGTTCAGCCGCATTTTGGTTGCGCGTCTAATTGTGTATATATATGTTTATGTCCTTTAGCCTTCATGGCTTGCTGTACGGTTGCGTTCGGGGTGCCGGATAGGACAGGGCGAGGCGAAACCGGGGCTGCCAAGGGCCTTACACTACTGCAGAATATATATATATGCATTTGTAGCGGGTGGGAGAGTTCCTTCTTGCCTCTGAACTTACTTCCTACCTGCCCATTTTGGGCTCTTGACTGGACGTCCTCTCCTTTTGGGCTCATGGTTTTTCCCGTCCCATATCCCCAAGGCGCTCCGAAACCACGCGGATCCCATGGGTCGCATGCAGCAGAAGCGTGGAGGATCTGGTGCGAGCGTTGGCGCTGCTGTGGCCGCAACAAGCAGCGGTGCTGGTGCCGTGAAGCGCGTCGGCGGTGCTGCAGCAACGGCCGCCGCCGGCGGCGGCACCGCCGCTACCCGCGCGGCGGCTGTACTAGGCTTCCGCCGCTGTCTTCGGCCGCTGACGCTCGTCGGCGCCGCTGAGACGCTACGGCAATTGCTGACGTCACGGCCGCCGGGGACGTACGGTAGTCATGCGACGGTGGCGGCGGAACCTGGTGAGCGACAGCAAGCAGGCGATGATGGCGACGGCGGTGAGGAAGATGTCAGTGGCAACTGGTCAGCTTGGACTGTGCTTCCTGTGAGGTGGGTCGTGAAGATAATATCTTCCGGTGTGTCTCTGGTATATCTCTGGTT